GGAAAATCTTTGATTTTTGATATCGCATTGAAGACGCCATATTCATTCCCTTCGTTTGCTGAAGAGAACTGAATCTCGACTATCATCAGGAAAATATGTTTTATTAACACCGAGAAAAAATATTTCGTGGTGTCATTTTTCTGTAAGCTCAAAACCATAGATTCAGAGTGTTTGGGATTTGAGAACGTACAATAGATGTTTAATTCCATATATTGCTTAGTCTCTTATATCTTTGCACTGAATAACTTTGCAAACTGTATAAAAACAAACACCAACGTAGCCTGGGAATTACCTTTCACAGTTACTCTTAATAAGCGATTGTTTATGGTACTCACTTTAGTCACAGAAGCCTGACAAATGTCCACAACTCTCAAACAGGTCTTACTTAAGCTCTTTTAGAATATTGGAGTACAAGTGACTGCTATCAGACGTGTGACTTGCTTAAAATATATCCTGTTTGAACTACAGCTGTGAAAATATGTTATATCACTTTCTAAGTAGAGTTTTATGGTTGTCCTACAACTTCCATGTCCAAATATCTTACATGTAGCCATTCTCTATTACTTGTAAACACTCACAAATCAAATCACCACAACATGAAGTATTATTTGGTTTTATCGTATAACTACTAGGAAATTATGTAACTTAACTCAATAGTTACATTAATTTCTCTGGACAGTGATTTGTTCTATCTGTTGAATTCATAAGCAAATAGTTACTCAGAGCTAAACAACTTGCCACTTTAGTCAATAAACATAACTAAACAGTCGACTAAAATATCATGTATTTTACAGTTAAATTTAAATTGTTAAATGTATAGAAAATTTTATCTTCGGTAGTATTAACTTAACAGAGATTCCGTAGGTTCAACTGTAGTAACATCCATTTCGAGTCTGTTATTTTCGGATTTCAGTTTATTTTCCAGCAAATAACGTACTGGTTCTAAATCCTGTTGAATCTGAAAACAAAGCGATGTGGTATTTAACAATAATACTAATTGGTCAAAACATGCTTTTCATTTTATGTTATTGTTCTGAATTGTGTTTAGATAACTTCACAAATCAATGGAGTACAGTAAATGTTGTCAAACTAATTCTAGATAACCAGTTATAATGAAAACTGTTAGTATCTTAGAATACCTCGATTATGTTTAACAAATTCAGATTTCTATGAGATGGACGTACATAAAAATAGTGCAGCAGCCATAAAATGTTAAGTTGTCTGCGGCAAAGTACCTATTTAATAAACTTCATTTTATAATAATTCCTCATACAACCTCATTCCATGGCGGAAACTGTTTATACTAATCACCTAATTAATACAACCTTTAATAATGCTCTCCCATAAGGTAATCACCCGTTAAACCAGTTTTTTTCTTCTACGTTCTTAAACTACAGGCTAGGTGACATAAGAGTGCACAACTGAACGACACCAGAATAATTGGTTAATGTTCTAATAAAACATGCCCAACACTGTAGTCTTTAGAACTGATTAGAGTTGATATGAGTAGTGACACTTACTGATGACATACACTGGACCGTGTAAAAACATTTTGAATGCCTCACTAGATAATAAAAGCTAAATTAAGATTTTCATTTCCAAACAATAATCGCGACAATCTGAATTTTGCGAGAAATTTCAGTGGTAATTATTGTACCAAATGTCACTAAGCTCGAAAACCCCATACAATTCACTCCTTATTATATTTCCAATACAATCCCTTAAGTGGTCAGTATAACTAATACTGCTTATTACAAAAGATTCTGTATCAAAATGTTTATGATATATATGATGTTCGCTTTACCACACGGTGTATTCATGCTTTATTGATTACCCTAGCGAAGTTATCATAAAAACGTTTTAAGTCATCCAAATATTTGTGGATATAAACCCCTCAATAATGTCAATGATTGGACTGAAATTTATTTGTCCGACGTAAAAGGTACAGAAATATCATATATGGAGAAAATATGACCATTACATACTTGAGGAAATTCCGTTACCAACTGATCTATAATTGCCATCAAACTTCGAGAACGATTAACATGTCTGATTCTCTCATTTTCAGCGGAAGTAGCAGAAGGACAAAGACGACGATATTTATCTTGTCTTATTTGTTCCCAATAAACTGTAGCATGTTGACGCATTTGAAGCTCAAAAAGATCCTGAATTTGTTCACAAAATTATATTAAATTCAAGTGTTTATTGGGCCGAGAAAAGAGTTAAATAAAAGACATTATCTTACCGTTTGAAGAAGATATTTGACTTATTAAAAATAAAATGAAATACCTATTGAGTGATGCATCTCTTTCGTTCGTCAAGTTAGCTCCCACTCCTAGATCTTCAGTCACCAATCGGAACCATAGTAACGAAAGCTTGTAAATTAGTTTCATTTATTGGTTAAAACACTGTACAGCTTTCATTAAGTTACTGAATCCTCACGGTAGTAAATACGTGAACAATAAATCAAAATTATTCCACTACAGAAGTAATGAAACCTGTAAGTGTACGGTCGGATTATGATGCTTATCAGATTATAAGGTTTATTAGTTTTCCTAAATAATTATTAAAAAGTATTGCTAAGAAATCCCATTAACTTGAATGTAAGTATATCCACACTAAAGTCTTCATTACAGATACAATTCACACACAAATATTTTCATAAAAAAATTCATCATCCTCCACAAAGTCTTCATTACCGAATTCGCTGAAGAAATAGCAAGATGGCAAATCATCGATGAGAATTTCCACAGTTTCCACTTCCCCAACGGATCTGTTATCGTCAGTGAACCCTCAACAAAGTGATTTGTTCGCGATTTCACTTTAAAAAAGTAATTCGAAACAAAAACTAATTGATTTACATTTTAAGTTTAATATCCATAGAAAGAAGCAAGAGTTTAACGTGTGAGACACTGTTATTCTCACTCTTTGTTGAAGAAAATGAATTTGTTTTATCAATTTAGAAATTTTGAGTATTCAAAAACGTTGTTGCTAATAGACTTTCCATATCATGTAAGATAAAAACCATTTATTTTTGGACTTTGTGTAATAAAACGAAAGTCACTTTGTGGATTCTGATTACTTCAGTTCTAAAGAAAGGTTACACAAAATGATTTCAAGCAAACTGAATATCGATGTTTTGTTGAATAGTTTTTCGAAAAATGAATTACGTAGTAATATAATTCATTGTATTCGAACGAGTACTTTCAATGAATCTAAAACGAGAAGAATTATTTATTTTGTCGTAAAACTATATGTATTTACAACACCGGACAATCTATTATCCTAACTATGGTAATTAATGACGTTTTCTGAATACTGTAACAGGTAAAAGTATATGGACGAGCCAACCAGAATAGAGAACGTGACTTTTAGGTTATTGTGCGAAATGCAAATATAATGTAAAACGAGCAGTATAAATACCTAAGCACAATGTTTAAAACATTTAAAATTATAGCGGAAAATTATTTTTTGCATCCGTTAAATTGAAATTACTGATAGTGTTCAAAGTACTAAATGCTTAATTCGATCTCTTTACCTTGTATAAAACTAGCAAATCGACACTACAATGCCTATTCAGGGATATTTCCTTAAATCCTAACACTCGACCGTTAATCCTTAGATTAAATTTAACCTAGTTGCACTACATTTTAGGGATAAATTAATTAGATAGGGCCTCCGGTATTTTTGAGAGAAATTCACTCATTCATATGGTGGCGGAGTATTTTGACGTTACACTTGATGTCATTTTGTGATGAAAACCTTAACAATATGAGGACTGTCCAAAATCTATTTGTTTTATTTGTAGCGCTAGGAAAAACTGATAATCTTTATTGATAATGACGAGTTTTCAAGACGCTTTTTTAATTTACTGGAAGATTAACTTGTAGGTTTTAACAAATTGAATAATTATGTAAAATCTGGATACACTTTGCAGTATTATTGTTTATTTTATACAAACTAACAATTTAAAAATACTATTTCCTGATTACCTGGGAAATAGTGGAAAATTAGTAGTGGTTGTTTTGTATTCGTTCTCAAACTATAATCTCTCAAAGCAACAATGCATGCCCGATATGTCTATCTAATAAACTTTCTCTCTACCTGCTTGTCACCCCCTTCATATATATATATATATATATATATATATATATATATATGAAGGGGGCGACAAGCATCCACAGCTCGATAAGCTCTCTACACAGCTATAATGATGAGTTGAAAGTTCTGTGCCAAATTTCCGAAATACTATTTTTGGGATATAATGACCAACACACAATATTACACAGGGACAGGTAGAGAGAAGGTCAGTTAAAGAGGAAAACTGAGTATGAAAACTTTGAAAAATGACTGGATTAACATTGAGCTTTATGTTAGTTATCCAGCTGTGTTAGTCATAAAATGAATAAGAATATGAATTAGTTAATAAAAACGGAAAATGTTAGTAAAATCCAGTGTGTTCTTAACTAAAAATAATTAGCATTAAACATTTTTTTGTAATTACATTGTCAAATTCAAATAATTTCCCAATTTTTCCAAAGAACAAATACGTACTAATCTGATTTAATATTCGATAATTTGAATATAAATGATTTCTTCAGAACACTAAATTTTCAATTATTTATTAAGCTACTACTGGTGTGATAATTATATAACTTGCCCAATTGAAATGAGATAGTGTGTTGAATGAAGAAAGACTATGATATTTAATTCGTTGAATATAGGCCTTTACCATGATTTCAACAATTCTAATGTTGAGATCAGAAACCAAATTTAATTACATTGAAGTATTCAAATGAAACTTCGAGCACGGACAACTTACAATCTGTTTCTGGTCAGACAGTGACTGCAATTTTTTCATCAATTCATCAGCTTTCTTTTGCTCAGCTTCAGCATCAGATTTCTTTATACGTAATTCATTTTCCAACATATTAGTTTTTTCTTCAAATTCTTCCAGCTCTTGTATACAAGACGCAGAATTCTAAATTTTGTTTGTTATTATACACAATGAAGAAAATAATCAGTCAGTGTTGATGTGTTTTGATATCCTTAGGGAAATTAAATAAAATGTTTAAAATTCACACAGATGGTTAATAAGGGATAACTTGAATGGTTATAATACACTGAAAAAAAAACTTCGTCATTTTAAATTTTCCCATCGGTTTAGCTTTTCTTACATTCGCTAGAACAGATTAAGGTGGAGACTAAGAAACCGATAATCACTCTTTTTACTGCTGTCAGAATTTGATTCAACCAAGAGACTCGTGTGTATGGTTTCTAGCTTTCAAACTTTATAGGCTGTTAGGAAGTCCTTAAATGTTCTATTTTTTGTTCAAACTCTTACATTTAAATGATAACAGTTCACCATGAACCGGCAATATTCTTTTACTGAAGTTACCTCCCCGTCCCCTTAGTGGCCGTACAAAGTTTTAGTGTGTTCATTTTCTATTTGTTACGAAAGGGTCACAGATAGCTTATGTATGTAGATCATGACTCCTGTTTTCGGCATTCTGAGGAAACAGTAAATGTTTCTTTGCAAAATAACAATTTATTCTTCTTATTTATTGTTTGAATCAGGACAAACTTAACTTTGCATTGTGATAGTGTACTTAATTCGTAGAGTAATATCGGTAACTCTTCCTTCTAGAGTAAAAAACATTCTGAGCATAATTATCAATTAAGATAATTTTAAGATTGATGAACTAATACGAACATGAGGCCTTAAATCTACTTACCTTGATAACACTTGTTAAAAATAGAAGTGACATTGATCACAACTTTGTGTTTTTAAGTTTAATGTCAAACTAATGAGATACGAATAACAAAACACAATCCTTTTTACCTCTAATGTTTCAGAGGTATAGAATTACCTACCTGTTTGATAGCTTTTAACTTCCGTTTAAGTTCATCAATATGACGTTGAGCTGTAATGCGAATTTGTGATTTATCCTTTCTAGACTGAAGAACATCCGACTGATTAACAATTGTATCACGCCTTTTATTTTTTTAATGAGCCGAAAAATAAAAGTACGTAAAGTCGGTATGGTTAGTGGAATACAATATGACTGTATGACAATATTTGCTAATAAATATAAGAGCATTTACAAGTGATTATTTACGGAGGCACTATTCAATTTCATGTCTTTTTAGTGTTGATCAAATTCTCTCAGTCAGCACGCAAAGGATTTGATAGACATAACATTGATCACTACTCAGTGATTAATCAATCGCGAATATCTCAGTCCTACATCAGGTTAGTCACAGCACAAATAGCTTAGTGTCAACGTATCCGTCTTTAAAATTGAGTAATACAGTATCGAATTTGCCAGGGAGCATCTGTTCCCTCAATAGTACAGATATACCTTGTTGATGAGTAACAAACAGTACGACAACTAGGTCCAGGGTTTCTTTCCGACTAAGTCCAATCATATAACATAAGGGTATGTCAATTACTTATTTGTTATCTCGATATCTTAATATACATAAAAACTGTCTTCAGTAGCTTTGTGACAGAAATGATCAGGAAATTACGTCACATTTAAGTGGAGGTCCCTTTAATAACAAGAAACATGTCTTAAAAAGTCCCACATGGTAAGTAATCGCGAAATATTCTAGATCAATTCAGACTGAAAAATTTTTAAAACTTCAACTTTAAGCCAATAAATATTAATATGAGCTATATAAATTTAGATGAAAACTTTATAGCTAGATAACACTGTTTAGCTCATTTTGAAGATGGGGGAGTGTACGATTTGATCGAAATTTCTCAAAAGAAGAAATGGTGAAGGAAAACGTAAAACTAAATTAAGTTTATTTTAATTCAAGAGGAATAATATAAAATAGTCAGATCGAATACAGGGAACTAGGACCATGTTTCAGTATCGAAATCTAAGTAAATTTACATTTGGAATCCCTGATTATTTAAAATAATCTTTACTGGTAACTTCTCATCCTAAGTTAGGAACGCATCAAGAGACAAGTGAACATTTTCAAATCGTCTTATGAATGATGTGTTGTGGATGCGGAGGAATAGACCAATAATTATGATGTTAAGTCCAATGGTGTCCTTGGACTTTAAATGGACATTTCCTATTGGTCGATATCTGTTCACTTGTTGAATATTGTACAAAATGTTGTTTTCTATTTTTATGGTACGAAGTGGTATGCTTGATTGGTATCTAAACAAAGTATGTTTGAAATATAATGATTCATATCTCAGAGGCTGTGACTTGTGTTCTTGACTCAACTGGCTAGGACAGACAGCGAAGCAGGGCCAATCGGGACACTAGGTCGTCCACTACGTGTTTTACGTGTCACTGTGATCGATCGATATAACGCTGCGTATCATAACCTGCAGTCCCACACGTTACAACAGATGACTGTTATTTAGGGAAGAGCAATATATCATGCCCATACATTTCCTAGTGTTATTCACTGGATGAGCTATTTTCGATAAAGTTAGACAGTAGAATGCAAAGTAAAATCTCTTCATTGGTTAAAAAATGATATCTCTTGACCTCTGTTAACCAAGTTTCACTTGCTTTCAGTCACTAGTAAATTTCTTAGTTCAATCAATTTTTATTTATTATTTCATATTACGACCGCCACACAGTTCTACGTATTGCTTAAACTACTAATCTAACAGTTATAAATGGAAGCAGACAGTATATTATGTATTTGGAAAACTATAATTGCCAAGATATTGAGGAGAGGTAGGAAAGGCAAACTGAGATCGTTTTTGTTCGTTACTACTTCCTTTAATTTGCTTCTTATTCGTTCATAGGTATGAAGGCTTTTGTTCTTGATTGCATATTGTGATGATGTGTTATGACCCTTTTCTTTGTAACACTTAAATGACTATTGTGATACCTAAAATTTTTAGTTCAGTAAACTATGAAAATAATCACCAGAACAGCTTGAATTCATAACTTTTTTGTGAACATTGTAAGATTCGTGCAGATATTATAAGTAGAAAATTATTTATGTTAATGCTATGAAAAGTTATCTAAACGAACAAAATTAGTCAGCATTATCAACACCTGAAAAAAATGTATATTTAAAAAGCAGAGTAAGGCTTTATATTTGAAAAACGTAGGTATTCAACTCTCAATTGAAAGTGTCTACCAGTCAGAATGTATCTACCTAATGAACAAATGACATACTTCGTTTACTTAAGTAGGTCATAAAATTACGGAAGGTATTAATTCTTATCTGACTACGACTGACATATTTAACTGATACTACATATCCATTTCAAACTTTTCATTTGAAATCAATTTGTAATTTTTTTTATTTCCTAAAATGAAAAAAATTCATTGGTGTTAAACCCGTGATTTAAAAAATCAGATTACTTTGATACAGAACGTTCAAGTGCCTGAATTAATCTTTCTTGTTGTTGAAGTAATGAGGATTTACGAATTTCCATACGATGAATTTCATGACGCATAACATTCATTTCACCTTGACCTATATCACAATCAACGGATTTTTTAGTTTCTTCACATAATTGTATTTTCTTTTCCCACAGCATAATTGTTCGTCTAAATTTATAATAAATTTTAAAAAAACTAGATTGAAGTGACATATTTCAGGCGAAAAAAGGCAATCTAAATTTGAACAAGCACTATAAGCAGAGATGATGGTGGTTAGCATTAAAATCCAGGACTCGTCAACTTGATATACCTGCATCCCAAAGTTGAAGTTCACTCCAAGACCTGAACTCAGTCCGCTCGCTTAAACGACATCGCATTATCCACTTAGCTACTGAGTCCAGACAGCCACTAGCTTGTGCATTGGGATGAAGTTTAATTCACTTTTGTAGTGGTTGTTAGGATGAAACGCGCGTCATGGATTCCACTGACAGCCACCATCATCTCTGCTTATAATGCTTGTGACTTAAGGCAATATCAAGGCAATCCGTATGATAATAATAATAAAAATAATAGTGAGAGACTGATCAATTGCAGTCGTAAACATCAGTTAGAAGATTTAATCGATCAACACAAAAATGAATTAAATCTGAACAAAGTATAGTGTAAAAAATCGAACCCAAAACTATGTCTTGTCACATTTTAGTCATTGGTATAATGTCTCCTGCTGAAAAAACCTTTTCCTTCAAACTGTATCAATTAAAATTACGAAAGTTACTCAAATCTCTTTAACTTAAAACACCATGGATGCTTAAAGCAGGCTGTAATTCGTTTTCATTTCTTATCTAACGATCTTAATTAACGATCTTAACTGAATTAAGATGTCTGTTGGTAGTGAAAAGTATCTAATTAGGTTTTATTTCAGTCAGTTAGTCAGCTATAACATAGGACCAGGCATATATATGCATCGGTCCAGGTTGCCATAACGCATCAGCACAACAAGATGAACACTGGATTCATAGTAGTTACTTCAATGGGGGTAATATATAGAAGAAAGATTGCATATAAAGACAGTACAGGGAGAAAGAATTAGTTCGTAGAAAGAAAGATATGAAGTAATTTTAATCTCATGGTTTGAGGGAAGACCGAGAGTGTATACACCGACGCCATTGTGATCGATTCTCAGCCATGTAGTCCGTATCTGTCATCATGGCTCGAAGTTAGTGACTTCAAGGACTGATGCCACGTTTTGGTTTGGTCAACCCTGACTTTCTTCCAACCATTTCCAACACCAGTTAGCATTGCACGTCGTGGGAATCGGTGTTCAGGCATACGCAACACATGATCCAACCATCTCAGTCGATGAAAATTCACAACCTCATCAACTGATTTACCATCATTCCCTAATACCCTGAGTCTAACCCAATATTACTTACCTGGTGATCCCAGCAGATAAAAGCAATGTTTATAAGGTATCTGTGGTCAAACACTTGTAGCTTACGAGTATTTTCAACTCTCAATGGCCACGTTTCGCATCCGTAACATAGAACAGAACTGCCGCACAGTATACTCGTCTTCCATTTGACAGACCGATATCCCATAGGTGACGTAAGTTGGAAAAAGTCAAACGAGCTTTCTGAATCCATGCAAAACTTCCGTCAGACACCAACCTATTAAAGCTGATCAGTCTTCCAAGATAAGTGAAGTTGTCGACGCGTTCGACCACTTCACTCCCTATCCTTAGTTCAGGTGTTGACGCAGACCAGTCTTAAAGCAACAACTTGCATTTAGAGGGAGAGAAGCGCATTCCAACCATTCTGGCATTGTCGCTCAGTGCTACCAAAAGACTCTGTATTTTATCAGCTACTCCACCCAATAGGACTATGTCGTCTGCGTATTCTAAGTCGATAAGTGGACCCTCTGGAAGGAGATCAATGCCCAAGAATTCTGTCGACGAGAACGTAGGTCTATGATGAAGTTAAACAAAAATGGAGAAAGTGGACAGCCTTGACGGACACCACTTGAGGTTGCAAAGACAGATGAAAGCTCGCCATAAGCTCTGACTCGACTAGTGGTGTTATAGTAAAGAACCTTCACGAGGTTTATGTACTTCTGAGGTACGCCTTTCAATGACAGACACTGCCACAGAATCTCGCAGTCTACGGAATTAAATGCTTTTTTTAAGTCAAGAAAGACCACGATTGTCGGACGCCGGTAAGTATGCCTGTGTTCTAAAATCTGACAAATGGTGAATATGTGGTCTATGTAGGCGCGACCAAATCTGAATCCAGCCTGATTTTCTCGTGTTTGCAGTTCACGAGTTTTAGTTAGGCGTCCGATAATTATTGAGGCTATAGTTTAAGATTTCATAAACAAGTATGCCTTCATTCTCTGTATCCTCAGAGTTCCGCGATTCGACTTTACTAATTTGCTATATAAGTTTGCTTAACTGCAGTGAAAATATCCTCTCAATCTAACTATCAATATGTAACATAACATCGTAATGCTAATCGATGTGTATGCGAAGTCACACTGTATTAATTACATCAGATGAATTTTATAAAAGCCAGTCTCCTAATTAACTTACTCAACTTCGATTAATTCACTTAATAAGTCTTCTTTATCTTTTAAAGCTTTATCCACTTTTTCTTGCAAATTAGCTGCTTCTGTTTCTTTTTCTTTCAATGAACGTATAAAGTCTATTTCAGTTAGTTTATTTTCATTATCCAAACATTCTTCGGTTGTCTTCTCTTTTGCTATCATTGTGTTTATTCTAGTGATATCGTTTTGTAAATGCTTTAGTTCTTTTTTTAAATCATTTTTCTCACGTCCCTGAATAGCAATTTCATCTATAAATAAGAAGAGAGTAATAACTAAGTTACATAAGTTTAAGCTGGTCTGAATCAAATTATTTTAAAGAAACATTAGGTGATCTTTAAAAACCTGCAAAATGTGAGGTAGTGTTTTCTGATTAAAGAAAGCGACCGACCAGAGAGTAGGTGAAGAGTTTGTGACCGGGTTTATTTGACTATTTGGTTGGCCGTAGCTAGACCTTACCTTTTAAAAAATGGAGATTTTTAATAACTCTACTGAATAATGCTTTAAATGGATTCAGCAGCCTAATATGTATTCATTTAGTTAGCATTATTATTAGTTGGTTATAGTGATTAATAAAGCTCTTTAAAAACGATATTACGTTTGAATTTTGCATGGTTCAGCTTAAAATATTCTTCTTAATATTAAGGCTGTTTTGACGAACTAATTCAAATTTCAATTAATTTACTTAAGGCATGAAAAAATTGAAGTGACAATTAAAACGTAAACTTACTATCAATGCGTAATTTCTTCTGTGTTAAAATTGATAATTGTTTATTTATTCTAGTCACAGACTCAGCCAATTTATCACGTTCATTTATATTTACAACTAATTCATTCTGTTCTCTTAACCATTGTTGTTCAAGTTCACCGATCTCATCCTGCTTAAGTCCAATAGCTTTATTTAAATTGTTTACTTGTGCATCCAACGGCCCAATTTCTTGACCCTAATATTAAAATAAATCAAACCAAAGAGAGAAATATAAATTAGTTCTTTCTCAAACATTTAACTTGATTTCAGAATGTACTAAAGTTTCTTTATAAGTTAAATAACCTGAAACCCTGTACTGACAGTTTGAATATAAAACTAAGGTGTAGTTAGAAATTTTTAATCTGACGTTACATGTCATTATTCATAAATGATATCGTACGTTTTTCGACTATTTTTAATTACATTTTTTAGTTATATATATATATATATATATATATATATATATATATATATATATATAACTGATGTATTATAGTTATAGTAATTATGGTTGTAATACATACAAATCTTTAGTATAAAAACCGGCTAATAATTAGTAAACATAAACTTATTTTCCTCTTAAACTTTTTGACGACTTGTCATTAAAAAGTATCTCCGTACAATATGCTTGACTTTGAGTAGATAATGAATAAAGATGAACTTAGTTATCGAGTGAGGTATATACTCTTCATGAACAGGTTTTTGCTTTGACCAAGTAGCTCAAAAGCTTCTATTACTCAATTTCATCGCAAATATCTAGTGACTTGTTTTGTGCGTTACGGTTACTTATTATTTAGAATTGTGAAACATTACTAGTTATTAATTAGTCACTAATATCTTTATTGTTTATCACAGTTCTTTCCATATGAAAACTTAATTAAAAATCTTTGCTAACCCCCTTATAAAGTGTAGTATAAATAATGAACACTTTTCGGAGGGAAAACTTTCTAAAAGCAGTATTCATCAGTATGGTAAAGAACCGGGGATATATATGATGGAAATTTGGTATTTATGATTCTATTTACAGTAACCACTTAATTTACCTATAACAAAACTAAAAGCTTTCGGAATATGTAACAAATTAAAAACATTATATTAGATCATTTGCTGCTCAGTTAAGATAAAAATGTATATCATTCAAAACTACGGAAAAATGTTATTTCAGTTAATAAAAAATCTAAATTAATTTCACGGTCGAATACTTACACCGCAGTCACGAATTAAACGTTCCAATTTCTTATTTAATATATCAATGTTCCCTTGTTTACGTTCGACTGAAATATTAGCATGATGTATTTCACCTTCCAGCTTAGTGATCAATAGATTTGTGTTATCGATTTCTCGTTCTAATTCACTAACTTTTTCTTGTTGTTGCTTATTCCTGGCCTTTTTACGTGCTACGCCTAACTCGTCTTTAGCAATCTGATTTTCCATTTGTACAATCTTTTGTTAAAAATAGAAATAAACAGATAGAAAGAAATATAAACATGATTTAACACTAGTAAAACAGAATATATATATATATATATATATATATATATATATATATCACACCATATGTTCAATCTGGTTCTACTGTTGCTTGACTGTTCTATTTCTACACTGTCCTTCTATCCTGAACAAATCTTCTACATTTCATAAAACTGTTATACATGTGACGTAAATTGTATTGTACTAAGAAGAAAATTTCATAAATACCTTAGTTCTTCATAGATGACTATCAAATTTGAAACACTGTTGCGTCCATGATCCATGAATATTAACTGGTTATCATAATTAATTATAAATTACTTATATGTAACTTAGAGCATTTGAAAGCTTTAGACAAAACTCCATGTGATGAAGTCAGTGTGGTCTAAATAAAGAACAATAAGTGATCTGGATTAGTTCTGTTCGCCAACAGTACACAAGAGCATAACTTATGAGGCATAGCCGTGTGTGTTAAAGAAGGTTCAGTATTTGATAAAAAGAAATTTTAAAAAATTCATTGCGAGCATAAAAACTACAGTTTATTTCATGCACAAATGTTACATAAGAAGATTAAGCGAATCATGGTTTTATTAGGATAGCGTATGAACCTTTCCATCTCCACAAATACAGGTTAGAAAGAAACTGATTTTATGATTTTTAGGAAATAAAAAATCACTTACTTGTGTTAGTAATTCTCTACTTTGATCTTGTACGTTTATATTGATTTTGTTAGCATAATTAGCAGCTTTTTGCGCGGTCAACCGATCTCTCAATTCTTCGGAGATTTTTTTCTCTAAATCTTGTTTCTCTAATACCTTCTTCTCAAGTTGTTTGCGGATATTGTTTACATTTGCTTGAGCAGTATTGTTCTCCTGTAATAAAACAAAAATGTTATGAAGCACTTGGAAATAATTAATTGTGTAGAGTAATATTTTCATGTGTACAGAGTTGACTTCCTGGTACTTACAAATATCTGGGAACAAGTCTGAGTTTCGACAACGCAAGTCGTTAAATATTAGAGTTTGAAACTTTTGTGGTGCTCAGGTTTTTATCAACTTAACTATATCCAAAACCATAATTTTTATTACCTCGTGATAAAATTCTATAACATTTGGTGAACCACAATACTGGTTTATTAAGTGAACTTCCTTTTTTAATGCCAAAGGTCGCTTGTATATAACGAAACGAAGATACAAGTATGAAACTTACTGGTTAAGTCATCTATACTAGAAGAGTTGTGTGTTCTTTTTAAATTATGACGATATGTTTCCCTTGAAACACTCAATTCATATTATGCGATAGCTCTAAAATTGCAAGTTTATATTAATAAGGGAAAACATCCGAGCTACAGCAAAAACGGACTTATTCCTGATTCAGTGTAATATTGAGCTGTTAGTAGAGATAGTTTAACATCTTTTTACGGTAGAAATTTCATTGGCTTCTAGGCTGATGTATCTAAAAAATTAATCATGTCAACATTTTAAGAAAAGGGAAGGTTAAACTCAAAAATGTGTAAACACGAATTTTCTGTACAGTGATTTACGAAAAGGTGGATATTTTCAAGGAATTTTATGAATTCTTATACCTCATACTCTATCAAACGAATTTTATGTTTAGTTTTTGGAATGGAACCAGTACTGTTCACGTTTAGATTGGGAAGGAATATAGTACTACACGAACATGATACGACTTAGAAATTTAAAACCTCTAAAAATGTTGTCAACTTTTATTTTGAATCCAACTAGTTTCCCTCACTTAAGTAGCGAGTAAGACATTCTATATGAATGTTATAAAGGGCAGTAAAACTTTGTAAAAAAAGTAACGTAATAATATTCAGGTAACGAATACTCATAATCAGTTATTTTTGGATCGAAAGCATTTGCCCAACATAACACATATTTCAAAGAATACGGCATAGTAGTTGACAATTCTAGATAATCTTACTTCTACCACTTTTTAAAAGAGACCATAGTGAAAAAGAAATTAATAAACACAAATAAAATTAACATAGATAATTTACTAAGATCCAAGACGCTTCAGTTTACAAACTGGAGTTCCGATCTCAGGAAGTTTGATAAACATTAAATTGAAGAAAGTAGCTACTTACTGTTTTACTCATTGCGTAAATGTTTGTTAACAGATAAGCTTTACGTTATCTCTTTCTTTATATTAAGACGTTTTAATGTTTTTTGATATAACTACGACAATAAGAACCATATGAAACAAGAATTTACTTTAGTGCAACAAAAATCTACGAAAACAAGGTCCAATCAATATCAAAATAAACCAATGTTATTTTAGGAATTAATCTTTCCTTAACATAAGTTCTTCCTGTGAAACTCCATTGAGCGATAATTTTTTAATTTGCTTGCATTAAAAATATATGCATGCAATTTTATTTTACTGATTGTAACTTAAGTAAAACTCTAAAGTCCTTTCTTCTATCATAAAGAGTAAATTCTTTTTTGTTAGATTGATACTTGCAAAATATTTCTGAGTATCTTACTGTTTTAGCATTGAAAAGATTACGTTCAGTTTCCAGTAAGATTCTTGAATATGTTATGTAAGCCTGTTTATCAGCCTCAAGTTTTGTTTCTGAATGTAACAACTGTTTACGCAAAGTATTCAAGTCTGATTCATTTTTATTTTGTAGTCCTGTCAACCGTTCATGTGTTTCTTGTTCTTTGTTAATTGAAAGCTTATATGCATTTTGTTCATTTTCTAAAACAAGTAATTCTTCTTTCAGCTTACTGAAAATATTAATAGTAGTATTTAATTAAAACCAAACAAAAAATTACACCAGAATATTGTCAATATTTTTGTCACATAGTAATAAACTATTCAAATAAAAAAGATATAAAGGTGAACTGATCCCTAATTTAGTCCTCAGATAGTAAATAAAGTCGACAAATCTTGCATACAATTCTTCAAGTTGTAGTTACATAGAAATGTGTGATAGTTCTCAATCTCCGATTGCTAGAACATCAGTTTAACCGATAAGTAAACTACTTATTGTACTGGCTGAAGATAATTAACAAAGATGATGAATTTTCTGTTTATCTCCGAGTTGGCATATATGGAGAATATGACTTTTATAAAGTGAAGAGAATTAGTGAATAAATTGATACTTTTATGAATACATTGGGTCAAAGTCATATTTGTACACTTCTAAGAGTCTGAAATGAAAAATATTCATCAATTATTTTGACAGCTAGACTATAAAGTGAGTTTGAATATCTTAAATTGTTTGTTTGACTTCTAGGACAAATATGAACTAAATGTTTCGTCAATCATACCTAATAAAATTCTCATCAAGTGTACCGTTTACACAATATACACTAGTATCTGCTTAATTTTGTATTTTGAAGTGTATATTATCAACTGTTATTAGATTACCAATCGTCATATGATTTATCGTTACAAGTATTTCGCCTAACAAAAGTATTCAGCCTTATATTAGAACATTCATCAGTGAATCTTAAAATACAGAACATGAAATTGCTTAACAATTGACAATAATTATCTCATTTAATTTTCTCATCTAGAGATGTCGTTATTGTTCCTGGTAACTTGGCAGTAAATCAATGGTTGTCCAAACATCAAAAAAAAAAGCTCAAAGCTCCTACTGATTTGCTTATCATGTGTATCAAATCGTAAACGACGAGTATTTTAAACCAACGTCTGTTAGACTATAATAATCTTAACTGTCACTTTCAGTCAAAACGTTGATATCGTTCCCAATAAATCTCCAGAACTAGAAAAACACTGATATCAGTCAGTCAGTCAGCTACAACGTAGGACCAGGCACATATGTGCATCGGTCCAGGTTGCCATACCGCATCAGCACAACAAGATGAACACCGGATTCATAGCAGTGGTTAGGTCAAAAGTAGTAATATATAAGAGAAAGATTGCATATAGAGATATAATACAAGAAGAAGGAATTGGTTCGTAGAAAGAAAGATATGAAGCGATTTTAATCTCTTAATTTAAGGGCAGACAGAAAGTGTATACACCGACGCCATTGTGATCGATTCTGAGCCATGTCACCATGAGTCTCCAACCATTGGTTACAATAGTCACGCGGACCCCAAACAAGTAGTCTGCATCTACCAACATGGCTCAGACTAGAAGTTAGTGTCTTCAAGCACTGATGCCACGTTTTGGTTTGGCCAACCCTGACTTTCTTCCAACCATCTCCAATACCGGTTAGCATTGCATACGCAACACATGATCCAACCATCTCAGTCGATGAAGATTCATGACCTCATCAACTGATTTACCATCGTTTCCTAATAGCCTGCGTCTAACCTCACTATTACTTACCCGGTGATCCCAGCAGACGCCAGCAATATTTCTAAGGCATCTGTGGTCAAATACTAATAGCTTACGAGTGTCTTCTACTCTTAATGGCCATGTCTCGCTGCCGTAAACTAAAACAGAACGGACTGCCGCGCAGTATACTTGTCCTTTTATTGATAGACGGATATCTCGCCTTCGCCAAAGGTGACGCAAGTTGGCAAACGCCAATCGAGCTTTTCGAATCCGTGCTGAGATTTCGTCAGACACCAAACCATTAGGGCTGATCAGACATCTAAGATAAGTGAAGTTGTCAACGCGTTCGACCACTTCACTCCCTATCCTTAGTTCAGGTGTTAACGCAGACCAGTCCTGAAGCAACAACTTGCATTTAGAGGGAGAGAAGCGCATTCCAACCATTCTGGCATTGTTGCTTAGTGCTACCAGAAGACTCTGCATTTTGTCAGCGTCTTCACCAAACAGGACTATGTCGTCTGCGTATTCTAAGTCGATAAGTGGATCTCCTGGTAGGAGATCGATACCCGAGAATTCAGTAGACGAGAATGTTATTTCCATCAGTAGGTCTATGATGAAGTTAAACAAAAATGGAGAAAGTGAACAGCCTTGACGGACACCACTTGAGGTTGCAAAAGCAGATGACAGTTCGCCATAAGCTCTCACTCGACTAGTAGTGTTCGAGTAAAGAGCCTTCACAAGGTTTATGTACTTCTGGGGTACGCCTTTCCATGACAGGCACTGCCACAGAATCTCGCGGTCTACCGAGTCAAATGCTGCTTTTAAGTCGAGAAAGACCACCATTGTCGGACGCCGATAAGTATGCCTGTGTTCTAGAATCTGACGAACGGTGAATATGTGATCGATGCAGCCACGACCAGGTCTAAAGCCAGCTTGATTCTCTCGTGTTTGCAGTTCACGAGTCTTAGTTAGGCGTCTGATAATTATCGAGGCTAGTATTTTAGATATTATATTAGTTAAACTAATCCCTCTATGGTTGTCACAGGATGATTTTGACCCTTTCTTATATATTGGGACGATAAGTGATTGTGACCAGTTAGATGGGATAACGTCTAACTCCCAGATCTTAGCTAAAATATTAGTCAACCTAATCGCTAAAATTGGACCACCATCCTTAAAGACGATCACCATTATCTGTTCGCTGTGCCAGAATGCTAAAATTTCCACCTAAATGCCTTTCTGTTTGGTTTAAGCTACCTATCTGAGCATTAAAGCCACCCCCTATGAGTACTATGTCTGAGCGTTTAGCTTTCTGAAGAAGTTCAGAAAGCTTTCTGTAAAATTCATCTTTCACATCATCTGAGCCTGCTGACTGATTTGACATAGGGTGCGTACGTTGAAGGCTCCAATGTGTAGTTTGGAGCGAGGTTTCAGTAGACCTGGGACAGAGTTTTGAGCACTAGAATCGTTGGCTATGGTAACACTTAAGGAGGAAGCCGAAGGAGGAAGTTTAGAGTTGAAAGTCAATGTAGGAGGAACAATAGGAAGTGAAGACGGAGGTTGATTATGAATACAGTGGTCTTGCGTGCTGTTAGAGGTATGAGGGCGGTTATCACTTCCCGGTTGCCCACACCGTGGAAGGGTTCTTCTGGAGGTACCTAAAAAGGAAATTGGATTAGAGGTGGTCTCAGTGACCTGAGAGCGTGACTACAGTGCCCAAGGGACAACTGTTTGGGGCCGGTCGCGCACGGCCTTTTCGTGGGAGGTTTTTGACGTGTTAGCTCCGTTCTTCAAAGGGCCTTACCGCCGGAGACGGAAATCCGTGAGGTAAGGTGAGGTGTGCATTTTTAGGGTCGAGCTTTTCTAACCCCACCCCTCCTTGTGGGAAGGCAGCATCGCTGTCATGCTGGTTGTCTGAAGGAAACACCTTACTGCTGTCACACCTCTGTACAGTCAGCAGTACGACTTCGCCTTCGGACCTTGGGTTTGTTGCTTTTAGTCTTACCGCTCTTCAACCGACCTGTCTGACATGGTAGGACCTTGAGGAACGGTTGTTCCAGTCAGTATAGCTCGGTTGCTTCATCACGATAGGCAAGCCTGACCACCACGTCAAGGTAGTAAGAACGGTCGGGGAAAAACACTGATATACAGAAAACTGACTTAGATTAACAACATAACACATAACCTTTTAGACAATATGACTTTTTTATTGTCTAGTTGGATAGTGGCTAGCTATCACGTAACTACACTACCGTCCATTAAAATAAACAAATAATGTTTTTGGATACTTGACACCTATGCCATTGACTGTTCATTAGATGTATTAAATAATACTCAGTCGCAAACTAAAGTCAGTTGACCAATAACGAAAGTTATCGACAGGATTGTCGAGTCAAGTCCTGCTTTAACAGAAAAATATGACTATATTTAACAAATATGTGATGTACACATAGTCACTAAATTGAAACGATTAGTAATCCTATTTATGAAATAAGAGCTATTTTACTTTATTATAAATATAATAGTACCTTTTGAACCGGAGCAGTGAAAAAAATATCTCTGCAATCTAACCCTACTCATAATTGTCGTGTAATACATCAAGAGGGGATTTATTTGAAGGTGGTGTTGCTTTTTCTGAAATAGCATATGAATACGTCACTCAGGTCTATACACAAACCTATACAATCAATGAACGGCTGTTTCATGCGTTTAGGGGTAAGTTTATTATTCTAAATCTCCGTAAAACTAGAATGCCTCAACCATTAAAATCTATTCAATTTACTCGAAAATTGTAGACCGTAAAACAGTTGTACATTTCATAAGTTACATGTCTAAGTCTGTCCTTGATTTTTCATTTGGCGTAAACTGAAATATTGCTCACCAGTAATCTATAATTTTATGGTTCATAGATCTTATTAATCCAAATAAAACTTACTTGTAAGCTGCTAATAAATCTGCATATGCTTCATTTCTACGTTGTAAGCCAAGCAAACTGGTTTTCCACTGAGTAAGTAAATGCGCTTTGTCAACATTTATAGCAACTATTTGTGCCTCAGCCTCGTACAAAAGATTTTGACTTGTATTCATTTCAATTTCTTGAGCTACTATTTGAGCTTCATATAAGGTAATATCATCTTTTAGTTGGTCAACTTTAGTTTGCATACGATCAACCGAAAGGTCTTGTCGGAGTTTCTCATCTTCAAACTATAAAATATGGAAAATGTCGAACCTCTCTTCAAATTTCAGTGAAATGAGTAGCAAATAGTATAATATTTGTCTTTTATAGTATATGTATCACGTGGTTAGTACTTCATTCTTAAACGAATAGTATTAACCCACTTTTCTGAAGGTTTGACTAACATAACTAAGTTATCAATTCACATGATCGACTAAATATTTACAATCATAACAAACCTGATAAGATACGTCAGTCTTGAGGAGGTACTTGGCTTTAGATAAACTTGCTACTTTACGACACGCTGTTATGATTTCTCTTATCGTGACCCAGCTACTCCTATTGTTTAACGTTTTTTAGACACTTCACCTCACTCAACAAGTTCACAAATCAGAACACTGTTGAACAAGAACGTAATTATATTCCAAATAAACAAGGCTGAATAGAGGTAGAAAGCATTATATGAAAAACGTTAGTATATTTATAATTTTACACAAGAAGCTACTATAGTTTTCTTCAAGTATCCGGTAGTTCCGATTGGCTAGGAAATGGTCAATCAGTATGCCTCAATACAACACTGTACGGAACATGCCTTATCTAGCGTATATCACGCTAACACACGTTTTTTACTGGTAAAAGACAATAAAAAGCATTCCCAATAGATGAAATTGACTTCTGAATGTTATTTACAGTTTTGAGAAAATATATTGACTGATTACCAACCGTGTACACAGTTTACTTACCTTTATTTGTTAATGTTCACTATATCCCGGAACCCTTATTTAGAGCTTAGAAGAGACCAAACCTATGTCTGCGTCATCATGCAAATGTTGACATCTTTTGAAGAACAGCTCGGCTATTGTGTCCTAAATAAGATAAACCGATTACTTTGTACAACAAAGTAGTGTTAAGGTGGGATAAAAAGGGAGATCGCTTACTAATTTAGCGTCGTATTTTTTCAGTATATCATTCTTTCGTATTAATTCAGAGTAAAACGTTTTTGTAATTACCACTACGCTAGTTACACACGATATTCGTTCTTCAGCACTGATGACCAGAAAAATATGACATTGCTAACTATTCAATGGTTAATCAATGTAATTTAGAAAAGCAATCCACAGTTATGTAACAAAATCAGGCCGTTCTGATAAGGATTGGTTAGAAAGACAAATGTACGTCCAAAGAACCTGAAAACACAATGCTTCAAAAGCTATCAAATTCTAGACAAATGCGACCGCTTTAAGAAAAATATGAAACAATCAGTAAAAACTATGGATTGAAAGCACTTTAAGATAAAAAGTAGTGCTTGTACTTTTTGTTTATATATCTACTATTTTTCAAAACGTTACAAATTCTGTGATAATTCACTAATTATATCAGCTTACCTTGCTTAAATCAGTGTGAACTTTTTCAACTGCCCTTTGCAATACCAGCAAATCTCCACTAACGTCTTGCTTAGCTTTATTTAAGTAGTATAATCGCAAACATAATGCATCAACTTCATCACGCATAGAATGCATTTTTTTAGTCTCTTGCAACATTGTTTTAACAGACGTTTGGTACTTTTCTCGGAGAGTTGTGAGCTTATTCTGAGCATTTTCATACTTTCCATGATATTCCGCATATTCATTATGTTTGTTATCTAAGCTTAACTGAAACCTTAAATTGAAGTAAACACATGTGGAGTCAATCCGATTGAATTCTTAAAAAAACTTTATTTCGAATAATCAGTTATATAACGAACAAAATTGAACATTAAAATATAAAAGAGTATTATTGTCACACAAAAAGAATAAAGGAATAGGAAGATTTGAGTGAGCTATGGCTATAAATTACTCCGAAAATAATAAGTTGAACAACGAACAACATCAAAATACTCTACAGCCTAATTTATTAATATTCGCTAGCTACATCAGCAGCATAAGTGTTGTTGTTGTACAGCTTTTAATAAATCTACACTATAAAATTATCCGTTGATCACTTTACTAAGGAATAAAATCAACATATCTCAAACAGTTGAATGCAAACTTTAAAAGTACTCTTTGAGAGAGACTATCTCATAATCAATAAAATACCTTATGTTTTGATAGCAGCTAATAAAAATAAAAAATGCATTTTTATAGAAAACAAAAAAACCTATTGTCCGGCAGGATTTTATACTCACACTTCTATAATTTTAATCAAATATCTACTACGTGTGTTGTTGGAATGTCATCATATCCAGTACTAAGAAAGCCAAGCAGGGCTGTTCAAACATTTTATCTTGCTTCAGCTCTTAATCAGCTTCAAGTTCAGTTGAACCCATTAATAAAATGAAAACTGATTTATTAAAACAGTTGGAAGGGGTTCATTATTTAAATGTGTATAATATCTGTGACACAAAGTTCACCTCAGTAACTTGAAGTAGTTGAGTTTTTTACCAACACAAAATTACATATATCATATAATACTAACAAAAACAAGTTACTCGTCTTAAAAAAATGTACATATAAGTTTCAATTTTACCTGGTAAATCAACAAAAGCACTGTATTCCTTTTCTTTGTTGTTACCATCAAATGCACAGATCCATTTTTATGTACAGTCACTACAGTCAACACCCTTAACTATATATATATATATATATATATATATATATATATATATTGTGCATTGAAATTTATTTGCTTATTTATATACCATGCTTTCAATAAGGATAAAGAATATCAAAAATAATGTATGCTTAAATATGAATAAAACCTATAGTTCTTGTTTAATTATACAAGCACAAAGCTATCCTGGAGAAAGGCTAAAAATACTGCGTCTCTGCATCTAACTAGTTCGCTCAACAATATATTCATTGATGAGTATTTCTATGTAAAAAACCCAAATATCAAACAAGACCAAAGTGCTTTCTTATTCTTCTTCAAAGTGTAGTCATACAAAATTAGTTTACTTATCCATCTTATGAAGGTCGGAAAGCGTTTGTTACGACGTTTGCACTGTACGGAAAACACTTGACAGAAACTATGGAAAGGAATTAACCTGAAACGCAAAATGTAGTATTCTTCAAAGTTATAAATCTCAAAAGTTACAATATGCTGTTTCAGTAGTCAGCTTCTAATGTAATTCTAAGATAGGTTAACACTTGATCTATCAATTCGTTAGTTTGTGCTGTCGAATCAATAATAATTACCAGTTTAACCTTATAGCTTAAAATTTCGGACGTAAAAAAATTAGCATTGCCCTCCGATAAAACTCGTTAACTGATGAAAACATGTTTTTCACCTACGTAATCCGTGACACAAGTTATCCGATATATCGTAATAATAAACACCCTTTTAGAAATACAGGGTTTTGATTATGTTACATGGTTTGTAACCCTACTAAAAATCATTTGTCAATTTATTGAAATGATTTATGACAGATCAGGTATATTATGTTTCACAAACACATCAAAATTGCGAGCATATAGAATACTTTAATTAAAACCTAAACTTAAAAACTAAAAGTTTAACCGCAGTTTAAATATGCCAATTACCTATAAAAAGGAATATGTATAGTAGGTTTTCGATCTGTGTACTTAACAGTATATGGGTATTCAGTCAGTTGCCACTATACCGTGTTTGCTAATATTTGAGTGAGAAATACTTTAGCTACGATACATAGCACCCAGACAGTGTGGTCACTGTTTGATATTATAACAGGAACAAACAAAGGGCTACTTTTACACAATGTAAAATTTAGGAATGCCGAAGTTTTTACTTACGGAATACTTATCACAAGAAATTCTCCTTGAATCAACTTCTTTATTCTCCGAAGCAAACCTAAATATATATTTACAACTCAAGACCATTCACATGAGGGCGATTTTATGATTTAATTTAGCTCTCTTTCCGATAAAAAGTATTAATGAATCTGGTGATTATAAACTATTTTATAATACCACAGAAAACCCTTATCTTATTAAGAAAAAAGTGCTTTAAACGTTAAGTTGTCTACAACGTTGGTGTTAACAAACTACAAGGAGAAGTCTAGATTCTATAAATCCCTTAAATGGTGTATTATTCTCCAAATTAGTATAACTCCTACTAGAATTTCGTTTCTGGAAATCGAGTTTCATTATTAAAAGCTATGCATCTAACTCTCCGAAAAAAACAAATCCGTGACTTTTAGGAGTATGGAAATCTATTATTATTATCCTAGGCTTTGTAAACACAAGACTATGAGGAAACTATGGAAATCTGTTCATTTTACTTTGCAAGTTCCTGTTGAAGGTTATACAGAACGCAACCAACTTCAATGTGAGCTGTCTTTTCTCTTTTCATTTCTTCGTACTATTTATTATTATGAAGAATATCCGAAACATACTTTCTCCCTCAGGTGAATCTCCGTATTGTCAATGTGTTTGGTGAGCATGCTTCTCAGAGACTCTTGAAAACGCCTCATCAACGGCTTTTTTTAGTTTGGAAAATTAATCAACGGAACCTACGTGATCTGGATCAAGAACAATTAAATCATTTTGTTCAGTTTCAACATCCACTTCATTTCTACGTGAGTTATCATTCAAAATACCATGTTGTTCAACCGTTCCGAGAGTTTCGTCAGGTAGCGTTTTAAATTCCTCATGATTTTGTTCACTTTGCGAATTCGGATTCTCAGAAAAACTCATTTCTGTTCGAGCTCTAAACAAAATTCTCTGTTCACGTTTTGAAAAACACAACAGACATAGCCATAACAACTACGAAGTGATGACCTTGAAAAAACAATATCTTTGTCATAGGCTTGTTTAAACAGTGTGATTTCTTCGCTCTCGATTGCTGTTGTTTTGTTATAGTTCAAGGTATTTAGTAGTATCTAATGGACGGTAGTCTAGCCACACGACTACACGAATTCTAGTCACTGTGGCGGTTACTTGTGGAATTTTATATTTCGTAATTCGAACGCGTTTTTTCTCAGGACAATAGAGATCCTGAATACCAGAAGCTATCACATTACCAGGCAAGAGGTTGCTTGAATGTTTCAAATGGTTCTGAAAAAAGCTTTCGTCTAACAGGCTTCTGTAGCACCTATGCTTCCAGGTAGAAACCTGAGAATATTTAACAACAAGGGGTATGTATTAGTAAGTTACAGCCAGGTGCTGTCCTTGATCCGTTAGAATATTTCACGTGTTTTAGAATGCGCCAGCTGCAGCAAGTTCCAGAATTTGAGTTTCATACTGGGATGAAACTGCAGTCCTGCGTATCCAGATTTTTGTTGATGATGTAGCTAAGATCGACTAGTGAATTTGACTGTTAAAACACTTGTTAAAAGTAGAAACGTATCCCTAAAGTCCGTTCTTGTGTTTTGTGTCTTCCATTTCAGAGTATCGCCCCTAGGCTTTTGTGTTAGGACAGAGTTTAAGTAGTTATGCAAGGTGATGCTAAGGAGTGTTTAGGATTTCATAGACCTATCCTCTAATGGGCCAAATTTAAGTGATTTGAGGCACTCTTTGTACGGCTTGAATTTCAGTCTCCTAACTGATTTCGTAGCTCGTGGTTAGTCACTTTGAGAAAAATGGTAAAGTGATAATTTGAGTGCTTAGAGAAGACTACTGTTTCAAGAAATAAATAGATATGTTGATTAGCTGATGATGAGAACAGTGTGAACAGACGAAAATGAAAGAATAAGTGGGGAAACGTAATTGATAATAGACAATTTATGAAATGGTTTCAGATTAGCGGTTGTGATAACCTTAGTACAATATGGTACAAACATCAGACACAGCCGCTCCAAGAGGGAGATAGAAATCCTTGGGTGAGTACGTGTTTATCAAGTTTCATATATAAGCCATCCACTGAGAAAAGTATCATTTGTCAAATTATGCAAAAAATCGTTATTTCTGGTCTTTGGTTCAAAAATAGTACGACCAGTATCTCAAGCTGTCATCTCGCGATTTACATATTGCGAAATTATCTTGAAAACTGTTCAGCGACAACTGCTTGTGGGTGACTAATTATCCTAAGTTATACTTTACCTCGTTTAAAGAAAGCTGAGCATGAGAACTTTTGGTCTTTTTCCACACTGTTTAAGGTGTACGTTCGCCAAAATCATTGTACTCACAACATTGTCTGACCCGTTTTCTCCAAAAAATGAGGGTTTTTCGGAAAAATAGAACTTGTTTACAATTTATCGTTTTACAGAACTGATGAAGATCAACTTTAAGACGTAAGACTATTATCTCTGTGCTATAGAAGGATAATAAGCGGTGGGATAATAATATACAAAAAACTCCATAGCTCATGAGACTCATAAGACTTTTGCATGACTATGAGGTGCGAAATCTACGTATAACGCATACATAAGCCTAAATAAAATCTATTTCATCAGTGACAAAACCTTATTCCCCCGGCAACATCAAGCGCTGAAAATAGTTGTTAGCCACACCGCTTAACATAAGTGTCACCGAAGACGGTTTAACAAAATCTAAGGAACATAAAATTAGCAAACGTGTTATTTGCTCATATTTTGTACATCTTAAACAATTATATTTCACACTACTACAGTAACAATAAGACTCCTGCCGGAGCGCTTCTAGTTTTATATTTTGTCTCGAGACCGAGTAAATGAGATGTGTTAGAGATGCATATATATCCATGTGAAACAACTTTGCTTAAGAAATGCATAAATAAAAAATTATTTGAGCCGTTTCAGCTCTGCCTTGGCACTTAAGGGATCTTCACTCAGAAGAATTATAACGTCTCATGATAAAGCCAATATTTTGCGTAAATCACCAGTCAGAAGCATCACCTGAGAACCAAATCAACTATTGGCATAGTTAAATGGGATTTTCGGAATATTTGGGAGACTAGAAGGGCCAACCAAAATAGCTATGGAAATGAGGAGATACAACTTCTTATTTCTCGGAGTCAGCGAAGCGCATTGGACCGAAGCTGGACAACGAAAGCTGTACTCCAGTCACGAGGAGGAAAAATCTATACACACCTAGAGTATCGCTTAGACGTTGTACAAAAAAGCATGAAAAGCACTCTTAGAATAGGGATCTCACGGATCCAAAATCACCAAAGCATTTTTCAAAACAAATTAGAAATGGATCACAAAGTATGCTATCAAGTGCTAAGCATCCGTCAATGAAGATGACAAAGATCAGTTCAATTAGAGCCTGAAGTCTGTCGTAGCAAAGTGCTTGGGAAAGGACCAGACCACCCTGATCGTAAACCTAAACGCTGAAGACGGAGTGGACAACAATGAGTAAAGAGACATCATGTTGCGGGATGGATTGGGAGAAACGAACGAGAAAGGGAAGGTATTTGCATATTTATGTGCATGCAATGAAATGGATATAGATGACACCATTTCTTCTCACAGACCTATAAACAAAGCTACATAGATTCCACCACTCCGCCTGGAGTCCCTCCAAAGGCTACTACCGGTCCCAAGCCCGGATAAAGGAGGACGGTTGGGCATGGGGTTAGCGACCCCATCCCGTAGAAAACTAACTCGCCAAAAAAACGCTAACCAGAAAAAATTATTCAAACCTTTTAAACTCTGCCCCGGGTGCCAGAAGTTCTTCATTTAGGAGAACGATGACGCCTCATGATGAAAGCCGAGTTCCTTCGGAAGTTACGAGGCCGATGCCCCTTCTGACAACCAGAGCAACCATTTATTTAGGTACATGGAATGTTCGTACAATGTGGGACACCGGGAGAGTCTTCAAAATTGCTGCAGAAATTAGGAGATACAACCTAGAGGTGCTCGGGATCAGTGAAACACATTGGACGTAAGTTGGACAACAACGACTAACTTCAGGAGAGCTCCCGTTACACTCCGGCCATGAAGAAGAAAATGCGACACATACACAAGGAGTCGCATTGATGCTGTCCAAACAAGCACAAAATGCACTTATAGTATGGGAATCTCTTGGACCAAGAATCATCAAAGCCTCCTTCTAAACAAAGAAAGATGGCATTTCAATGAACATCATCCAACGCTATGCGCCTACCAACGACTACAATGAAGACGCTAAAGATCAATTCTACTACAGGCGGGACTTCACCGGATAACACCACGCAAAATCAACTCGACCATATTTGCATCAACAAAACGTTCAGGAGGACGATGGAGGACGTGCGAACCAAGATAGGAGCTGATATAAAATCAGATCATCATTTGCTGGTCGCCAAGCTGAAATTGAAACTCAAGAAGTACTGGACAATGGGGCAAACCATATCACAAAAATTCAATACGGCTTTTCTTCGGGATACTGACAAACTCCCGACCGTTGTTGCTACCTTGACGTGGTGGTCAGGCTTGCCTATCGTGATGAAGCAACCGAGCTATACTGGTTGGAACAACCGTTCCTCAAGGTCCTACCATGTCAGACAGGTCGGTTGAAGAGCGGTAAGACTAAAAGCAACAAACCCAAGGTCCGAAGGCGAAGTCGTACTGCTGACTGTACAGAGGTGTGACAGCAGTAAGGTGTTTCCTTCAGACAACCAGCATGACAGCGATGCTGCCTTCCCACAAGGAGGGGTGGGGTTAGAAAAGCTCGACCCTAAAAATGCACACCTCACCTTACCTCACGGATTTCCGTCTCCGGCGGTAAGGCCCTTTGAAGAACGGAGCTAACACGTCAAAAACCTCCCACGAAAAGGCCGTGCGCGACCGGCCCCAAACAGTTGTCCCTTGGGCACTGTAGTCACGCTCTCAGGTCACTGAGACCACCTCTAATCCAATTTCCTTTTTAGGTACCTCCAGAAGAACCCTTCCACGGTGTGGGCAACCGGGAAGTGATAACCGCCCTCATACCTCTAACAGCACCCAAGACCACTGTATTCATAATCAACCTTCCTCTTCAATTCCTATTATTCCTCCTACATCGACTTTTAACTCTAAACTTCCTCCTTCGGCTTCCTCCTTAAGTGTCACCATAGCCAACGATTCTAGTGCTCAAAACTCTGTTCCAGGTCTACTGAAACCTCGCTCCAAACTACACATTGGAGCCTTCAACGTACGCACCCTATGTCAAATCGGTCAACAGGCTTCCTTGGTTAGAATCCTAGAATCTCGTACCATTGATGTATGCTGTGTCTCTGAAACACGCATAAAGGATTCCAGTGTGGTCATTCACTTGACCTCACCTCGGCAAAACGGAGAGCCAACGAGATACACCCTACGAGTATCTGGTGACCGGACGGCCAGCTCTCGTGGACTGGCAGGTGTAGGCATAGCACTAAGCATGAGGGCGGAACAAGTACTGCTAGAGTGGATCCCCGTTAACAGTCGTTTATGTGGTGTTCGGCTAAACGGCTCCGTAAGAACTCGGAAGGATAGAGACACACGTCGTTGCCTTTTCGTCGTTTCTGCCTACGCTCCCACCGACTGCAGCTCAGGTGAAGTGAAAGATGAATTTTACAGAAAGCTGTCTGAACTTCTTCAGAAAGCTAAACGCTCAGACATAGTACTCGTAGCAGGTGACTTTAATGCCCAGATAGGTAGCTCAAACCAAACAGAAAAACATCTAGATGGGTATTTTGGTATTCCGGCACAGCAAACAGATAATGGTGATCGTCTGCTGTAACTATGATCAGACAATCGTTTATTTTTAGCAAACACAAATTTTAAGCATAAGGAGAGACATCGTCTAACATGGCGACCGCCTGCACCAAACCAACGATGGACTCAAATAGACCATATTGCCATCAGTCATCGTTGGAGAGGGTCGGTACAAGATTGTCGCTCATTC